CCATTCTAACAGGTGTGTAGTACTATTTCATTGTTGTTTTAATTTGTAATTCCTGAATGATATATGATGTTGAACACATCTTCACATGCTTATTTGTCATCTGTATATCTTCTTTGGTGAGGTGTCTGCTTAGATCTTTTGCCCACTTTTTAATTGGGTTGCCTGTTTTCTTACTGTTGAATTTTAAAAATTATTTGATACTGAAGATATAGTTCTTTATTACATATGTGTTTTGCAAATATATCCTCCTAGTCTGTGGCTTGTCTTTGCATTCTCTTAAGGGTGTCTTTCACAGAGCAGAAGCTTTTAATCTTAATGAAATTTAATTGATTCATTTTTCATTCATGGGTGATGCTTACAGTGTATTCCTATCCATGTATCCATTAGGATCTTCTTTGATATCCTTCATCAGTTTTCTAATTCTCTCCACATAGATCTTATAAATTTTAATACTTCAAAATATACTTTCAAAAAGTCTTAGTGAAAATATTTTTTAAAATTTTCACTGAAAAACAGTATCTGAATAACACTACTAACCCAACTTACTAACACTATGCCCCTTTTGAAACAAATTAACCTATCAACTAAGAATAAAGTTAGTAAAATTCCTGTATTCCTTGTAGCGGTTTGAAACTGTGACTCCAAATTTCTTTGACACTCTTCCCTCCCACTAACAGCTGAAGTCTATATCCCTTTCTCCTAAAATCTGAGCTCTGTGATTGCTTGATCAATATAAGAAAGTCAAACTGAAGTTACGGTTGTTTCCAGCGTCAGACCTTAAGAAACTAGTATTTTTCACCTCCTGTCTCTTAGAATATTGTTTCTTAGGATGTTTCACTTTTGGAACCCAGCCACCAAGTTGTAAAAAAGATTAAGCTGTCCCACAGAGAGATCCATGTGAAAAGGAACTGATAGCCAATACCATTTTGCCAACCAATACCATTTTACCTTACCATGTGGGTAAGGTATACTGAACATCAAACTTCCAACGGAAGTTAAGCTCTCCCAGCAGACACCACATGGAGCAGACAAACCTCCCTGCCAAAACCCGCCCAAATTGTACACTTGCAAGCAAAACAGAGAAGACTATTGTTGTTTTAAGCAACGATTAGAATGGTTTGTGTCCAGCTATAGATTAAAAACTAGCCCTATAAATAACTGAATATGGTTTTATTAACATTAAAATTGAATCAGTAATTTCAAAGGACCAGAAATAATGTGTTGGACTTTTAGACAAAGTAAAAGTCCTAATCCTATAAAAACCATTATGGAGTCATTTAACCCTTGCCTTTTGATTAGAACTAATTATGTTTGTTGTCAATTTATTACAAATTAAATTAACCCAGATTCACATTAAATCATAAATTTCCATGAAATAAATTAGTATTTATTTCCACGCTAAGCCATAGGAAATACTGCTGAAAGTTCTAATTGAAATGATAAAATTATATATACATATTCTCCATGCCACAATAATTTCCTCACACCTGAAATGTGTTGATATTAAACCTTTGAAAACTTTTAAGTTAACAAACTTGAAGCTTTTCAATCTCTTGAATCAATAAGGAAAATTTAAAACTGTCTTCAGCATACTGTATTCATTAGGCAGAAAAAAGAAAGAACCAATTGTTAATGGGAAAATTAAAGATAAAAGGTCAAGGGACCATTTTATTATTTTATTTACTTTTTGATACAGAGTAGGGCTTTATCACCCAGGCTGGAGGGCAGTCTCATACTTATGGTTCACTGCAACCACGACCTCCTCGGCTCAAGCAATCCTCCCACCTCAGCCTCCTGAGTAACTAGAACTACAGGCACACACCATCCCACTTGGCTAGTTATTTTTTTTTTTTTTTCCTGTAGGGATATGGTTTCACCATGTTGCCTAGGCTGGTCTTAAATTCTTGGGCGCAAGTGATCCTCTCACCTCGGCCTCCCAAAGTGCAGGGATTATAGATGTGAGACACCAAGCCCAGCCTAAGGGACCATTTTAACATTCTGGAAAGAAAGACTGAGTAAAAGAAAAAGAAAAAAAAAAAACCTCACAAATGCTTTGTTTAAATTAGAGAAAACAACAGTGAAGATAATTTAAAATCTCTTTAGAACACCATAAATTCTTTTATTCCCAGATTTATTGCAATAATTTCTAATCTTCATCTACAGTACTGGATATTACCAAAATGTTCAGCTGGTCAAATCAGTAAAAAGTAAGCATCTCCCGCTCATAGAGGAGGAAAAAGTAAGGATCCTTTTTCCCATTCTTCTGAACCAGGTAGAACTGGGGTAGTAACTAACAGCAGTTGTGTCTCTGGACACAGCTCAAGCCAAAAACTGAAACTAATCCTCTGAGAGTCATCCAACAGATTAAAAAGATTTGTGCAAGAGGGTTAAGGGTAATTATGCTCACATAACAGACTCTGAAATGGAATTGAGGAGTACTAAGTAGGAGAATGGGGGCAAGATACTGGAGGATGGTAACAAAGAAACTGAAGGGTGTGATGAAAAATGTGAAAGAGAAAAAAAGTGTACCTACATTTATAGCAACAGGTTATCCAAATAAATAAACATGAGGTAAAATAAGACATGAGGTAAAAATAAGGAGAATAAGAAATAAAGATGTCATGGTGATGACAGTAATTATATTACAAGACACAAAGAATATATGACATGTCAACATTTAAGAAGTTCAAATCATTGAGCTACCTTGGCTACAAAAGAGCTACCTTGGCTACAAAAGAGTAAGTGTACTGGTTTGGAATGCCTTAATGGAAGAAACTCTGTTGCTGTCCTTTGACATGTCTTATTAATAACAAGAAGCAAATTTACCACAAAGATGTCAATTATTAACTTATAAATTAAATACAATAGTAATAAAAAAATCCAAATAGAATTTTTATAAAACTAGGTGATTCTCATGAGGAAGAAAAATTTCATAAAAAATAACCAAGGAAATTTGAAAAGCAATAATAAAGATTTCCTTACCAGATAACAGACTACTGTAATTAAAATATCATGGTATATGCACAGGCACAGACATACACATCAAACAAACAGTACAGATCAGAGTATAAAAACAGACTATGTAGATCTGTAGATATTACACAAAAGTACAATTTTAAATCAGTGGCGAAAGAGGGGACTATTCAATAAATAATATTGAGACAACTGGCCAGCCTTTCATCGAAGAACAACGTCTGAATCCCTTTCTAAAAGAATTACATCATATACTAGAGAATTTCAGATGGATTTAAAAATCTACACACACATACACACACACAAACACACACACACGCATATATACAAATGCAATGTGTGTATATGTATGTGTTAAAAAAATACTGGGATAATATATAAAACAGGTTTGTTTTAATAACTTTTGAGTGGATAAAGTCTTCCAAATTAAGGCAAAATACGAAAATTATGAATGAAAAATAATCTCTGAACAACAAAAGGCATACAAACTAAATTCATATAAAGGAAAAATCAGAGATAATAAGTAAAACACATAGTAAATAAAAGACTAATCTCTAGAATAAAGAAAAAAATGCTTACAAAGCAAAAGAAAAATCATTCCGAAAAGGGAGGGGGAATGCAGATGATATAAGCACAATAGATATTACTATTAATGATATTAAAATCACTTTAAATGTGAATAGTCTAAATATACCAATTAAAATACAGTATCAGAGTAGATTAAAAAATAAGACAACTACATGTTACTTTGAAAAGAAACCCATTTTTAAATATAAAGACACAGATTAAAAGTAAAGGAATGGAAAAAGACATGCATGTTAACACTAATCAAATCTTGCATCAATAGCTGTATTAATGTCAGACAAAGGGGACTTCAGAACAAGAAAAATTATCAGGGATGAAAAAGGCATACATAGTGATATAGGGGTCAGTTCTCCAACAAGACATAACAATCGTTAATGTGTATGTACCTAACAAAATAATGTCAAAATATGCTAGGCAAACACTGATGAAACTACAAGGAGAAATGCATTATTGTTGTTGGACACTTTAAATTCTTCGAATAGTAACTGACAGAGCCAATAGGCAGAGTATCAGTAAGAATATGGTTGAACTAAACAGCACAATCAATTAACTGGATATAATTGGCATCTGTCAACTGCTTCATCTAACAACGGCAAAAGACACATTCTTCTCAAATTGAAGTGAAACATTTGCCAAGATGGGCCACATTCTTGGACATAAAACATACCTTAACTAATTTAAAAGAATAGAAATCACACAATGTAAGCTCTCAGTCAGCAATGGAATTAAAATAGAAATCTGTAACAGAAAATTGGAAAATCTCCAATTATTTGGAGATCAAACAACACACTTCTAAATAACTCATGGGTCAAAAAAGTCTCAAGAAAAATTTTAAAATACTTTGAACTAAATAAAAATACAATGTTCCAAATTTGTGGGATGCTCCAAAAACAGTGCTTAGAGAAAAATATATAGCTCTGAATGCATATATTAGAAAAGAAGAAAGCGTTCCTATAGTGGAAGCTTAGATTATTTAGCTCAATAATCTAAGCTTTTTTCCCCCTAGTTGCCTATGGTGGAAGCTTAGATTATTATTATTTAGTTCAGTAATCTAAGCTTCCACCATAGGAAACTAGAAAAAAAAAGGGGGGCAATATAAACCTAAGGCAAGAAGAAGACAAAAAAAAATTATAGTAAACATCAATGAAATTGAAAATAGGAAATTGGTAAAGAAAAATAAACAAAACCAAAAGCTGTTCTTTGAAAAGAGCATTAAAACTGATAAACCTCTAGTCAGGCTAACAGAGTGAGAGAGAGATATAGAAAGACAGAGAGAGAGACAAAACACTAATATATAAAATGAAACAGGTGTCATCACTACTGATCCCATGGACATTAAAAGATAACAGGTAAATATTATGAACAACTCTAAGCCCACAAATTTGATAACTTAAATGAAATGAGCTAATTATTTGAAAAACAGGAATTACTAAAACTCTCACAAACAGCAATAATCTGGACAGGCCTATATCTATTAAAGATATTGAATCAATAATAAACAACCTTCCAAAAAAAATGCACAAAGTCCAGATGGTTTCATGGTGAATTCTAACAAACATTTAAGGAAGAAATGACACTAAATCTCTACAATCTCTTCTAGGAAATAGAAGCATGTAGTAACTCATTCTATGGGACCAGCATCACCCAAACATCAAAACTAGATAGAGGCATTACAGGAAAGGAAAAATACAGACAAATTCTCTTATAAGTATGTAAGTATAGATGCTAAAATCCTTAACAGATATTAGCACTGAATTCAACAATGCATAAAAAGATTTACATACCACGACCAAATGGGGTTTATTCTAGGTATGATTCTAAAATTCATATGGAAAAACAAAAGACTCAAAATAGCTAATGCAATACTGAAGAATGAAGTCAGAAGACTGGTATTACCTGACTTTAAGACTTACTACACACTGCACAGCTATAGTAATCAAGACTGTATTAGCTATAACATAAATAAATGAATGGAACAGAAATAGACCATTCAAATACAGTTAACTGATTTTTGAGAAAGAAAGGCAACCCAATAAAGACACTTTATTCAATAAATGATGCTGGAACAACCAGATATCCACATGCAAAAAATTAGTCTAAACAGTGACAATACACCTTTCACAGAAATTAACTGAAAATGGCTCATAGACCTAGAAATGTAAGAAGCAAAACGATCACATTTCTTAAAGATAATATAAGAGAAAATCTAGGTGACCTTGGGTTTGGTACTGAGTTTTTAGATACAATGCCAAAACAATGTTCCATGAAAAGAAAATGAGTAAGTTGGACTTCATTAAAATTAACAGCTTTGGCTCTGTGAAGGATACTGTTAATACTAAAAGAATGAAAAAACAAGCCACATGCTAGGAGAAAATATCTGCAAAACATATTTCTGATAAAGAACCTGTATCTACAATAAACAAAGAACTCTTAAAACTCAACAATGCTGGGTGTAGTAGCTCATGCCTGTAATCCCAGCCCTTTGGGAGGCTGAGGCGGGTAGATCACTTAAGGTCAGGATATCAAGACCAGCCTGGCCAACATGATAAAATCCCATCTCTACTAAAAATACAAAAAATTAGCCAGGTGTGGTGGCACGTGCCTTTAATTCCAGCTACTCAGGAGGCTGTGGCAGAAGAATCACTTGAGCCCAGAGAGGCAGAGATTGCAGGGAGCCAAAACTGTGTCACTGCACTCCAGCCTGGGCGACAGAGTGAGACCCCATCTCAAAACAACAACAACAAAACTCAACAATAAGAAAACAACCCAACTGAAAAGTAGGTAAAAGATCTAAACAGACACCTTACCAAGAAGATACACAGATGACAAATAAGCATATGAAAAGGTGCTCAATATTATATGTCATTAGGAAATTACAAATTAAAATGAACATAGCACTACACACCTATTAGAATGGCTAAAATCAAAAACACTACAACAAATCCTAGAAAGGATGAAGAGAACAGAAGTCTCATTCATTGTTGGTGGGAATGCAAAATGGTACGGCCAATTTGGAAAACAGTCTGGCAGTTTCCTACAAAGCTAAAACATAGTTTTAACATATGATCAGCAACTGTGCTCCTAGGTATTTGCCCAAATAGCTGAAATCATATATCCGTATAAAAACATGCAAAATAATGCTAGGAAAATGAAAAAGAAAACCAGGAGATACTATTTCATCTCCATTAAGATAGCTATTATCACCACAAAAAAACACAAAAATCAAACAAAAAGTAGCAAGGACTCGCAAGGATGTGAAGAAATTGGAACACTTGTTCACTGCTGGTGGAAATGTAAAATGATATAGCCATTACAGAAAACAGTAGGGTGATTCCTCAAAACATTTAAAATAAAATTACCATATTGGCATTAAGTACATTAACATTGTTGTGCAACCATTACCAGCAGCTTCACTTTGGGATTTATATTCAAACAAAAATGGATACTAGAACAGATATTTGTACACTCATGATTACAGCAGCATTATTCACAGCAGCCAAAAGATAGAAGCAACCCTACTGTCCTCTGGCAGATGAATGTGTAAACAAAACGTACATACATACAACTATTATTTTGCCATAAAATGGAAGCAGATGATGACATATGCTGCACCATGGATGAACCATGAAAACACTGTGATAAGTAAAATAGGCCAATCACAAAAGAACAGTATATAATTATATTTAAATGGGGTATCTAAAGTAGTCAAACTCACAGAAACAGAAAGTAAAATGGTGGTTGCCAGGGGCTTATGGGAGAGGAGAACAGAGTTATTGTTTAATGGGTACAGACTTTAGTTTTAGAAGATGAAAAAGTTCTGGAGATATACAACAGTAATGGTTGCACAACAATGTGAATGTACTTAATGTCAATGAATTATGCTTAAAAATGTTTAAAAAGGTAAATTTCATAGTATGTATAATCCACCACAATATTTTAAAAAGAGCATGTCTTGTGAAGAAACAGATAAACCCTACTTTACAACACCAATAAAGACATGCACACAAAGATTTATAACTCTGCCTAGAGATAGCCTCTTCATATATGTACGTAAAAATACCATGTTTGTATTTATTAATCACTCATCTCCTCGGAAAATTTTAGAAGTCCAGACTGAAGCTGTTGAACTTCAGTATGATTATTCATTTGTACTGCCTCATGGAGCAAATTTTCCCAAATTATATACTTTTTAAAAATGACTAGTGCTTTTCAATGTAATACAAAATATGTGATAGTTTTTGTTGTATGTCCTACCAATTACTAACCTCTTGATTTTTTAGACTTTGCATAGCATCATTATTCAACATGTGTTTTACATAAAAATAGTTGATAATTGTGAATCTTTATTAATAGATTTATGTTATAAGCAAGCACATAAGAGCAAATCTTTAATATACTTATGGAAATTTAACAGACAACACACAAGGAAAAGGATGTCCAATGAACCAGTTTACTCCTCTACTGGACATTTTTCGCTAAACTGCCTAGTTCACCTTTCAGTATCAAGATCCTTCATTCAATCAAAACAGGATTACTTCAAAGCTACTAGGCATTTTTTAAAAATAATTCTACCAATCAATCATGCATAAGTCTGAATATTCCTCAAAAGGCTTATTTGTTAGTCATGCTAGCTGGGCATCCATATTCCAGTTCTTCTCTGTATTAGGGTTTTCTAGAGGGACAGAACTAACAAGATATATATATATATATATATATAGTTCATTTAGTATTAACTCATAAAATCACAAGGTCCCACAGTAAGCCATCTGCAAGCTGAGGAGCAAGGAAAGCCAGTCTGAGTCCCAAAACTGAAGAACTTGAAGTCCAATGTTCAAGGGCAGGAAGCATACAGCATGGGAGAAAGATGTACGGAGCTAGGCCAGTCTACTGTCTCCACGTTTTTCAGCCTGCTTTATATTCTAGCTGCACTGGCAGCTGATTAGATGGTGCCCACCCAGATTACTGGTGGGTCTGCCTTTCGCAGCCCACTGACTCAAATGTTAATCTCCTTTGGCAACACCCTCACAAACACACCAATGATCAATACTTTGCATCCTTCAATCTAATCAAGTTGACACTCAGTATTAATCATCACATTCTCCTACTAACCATATTTTGAGACTACACTCCCATTGCCACTTCTGGTTAGGTGAAGGAACGTAACTTACTTAAATTAGTGAAATATGAGGGGAAATGACATTAACCAGCAGCTTTAGAAGTCAATGCCTAACTGCGTCTTTTCATACATCCCAGCAACCAACAGTGGTTTGCCTGAGTTCCCAAGTGAGAATACATGCAGTAGCATTCCTGACTGTCCCATAAGGGATATACAGCATGAACAAGAAATAAATCTCTGTTATTTTAAGCTATAGGTATTAAGGGTTTAGTATCCTGACTAATACAGCTTGATAAGCAATTCTCTATTCAAGCACTTCTCTAAGGACTACTACATGAGAATTTAAGTTGTATGATGTCTGTTTTATATTGACTAAGGTTGGGAGTGTTATAGCTTGAGTGTTTACTATTTTCAAATAAATCAAGATGCCACTTTTTAAAAGCGACATCTTTTAAAAAGGTGGTCTTTAAGAGCAGGATAATTTTTTTTGAAGGTCCAATGGAGTCAAGAAGCCATTAGATGATTTGCTTCACAACTGCTCTAATGCTACTGTGTCATCTTGGATAGGCAGCCTCCTAATTTTCTTTTAAAAGATGGCTATGCGTTTTCTCATCATTTTGAAGTATTCCAACTTGTCACTTTTTGCTTCAGTTTAGGATTTTTTTGGTTTAAAATTTCTCTATATCAGCTCTAAAACCACTGGGATTACATTTGTATCAAAAATACATTTAAAACAAAATAAAAAGTGAATTGAAAAAATATGCTGAAATTATAGGGCATGATATTTCATTGTTTGGCAACATTACATCAAAGGGAAAGCTAGTTGGTACACGCTGCATACTTCAATTCAAAGATAAAGTGCCTTAGAGTGACGTATTTGTGAAAAGACTGACGTACTGTTTTCTGAAAAGCTGATGATCACATCTTTAAGAATAACGAATACAAGCAGAAGAAAACAAAAATCACCAGCATTCATATTTTTTTCACTTCATGAAACAAACTGGAAAAGAGTCACGTAGTAACTTCAGAGTTAGCCAGATTCATGTAAAATTCCAGATCTGCCACTTAAGAGCAATATAATCTTAAACAAATTATTTCACAACTCTGCACTTCAATTTCCTCATCTGCAAAAATAAGGATAATAATATCTCAAAGAATTACTGGTAGAATTAAATAACTAGTTAAGTAATTGGCATGAAGTAGCTGGTGTACAGAGAAACAAATGTTCACTTCTTTCCCTCTAGTAACAAGCAGGACCAATTCATCAGATGGCAAGAGAGGAAAGAGATCCCCTCTGAAGGCTCAGATGATCGCTAACACGCTTGAGCAGTAAAGGATTTTTAAAGTAGGGTATGTACATTGCTTTTTAGACTTAATGCTATTGCACACTTAATAGTCTACAGTGTGGTGGAAAAATAACTTTTATATGCACTGGGAAACCAAAAAAAAATTGTGTGACTCACTTTACCATGAGATTTGCACAATAAGGTGGTGGTCTGGAACCAAACCTGCAGAATCTCCAAGATATGCCTGTACACTTATTAATCATTTATTAATAATTGGCCTCTCTGCCTCTAGTCTTTTCTTCTTCAAAGGCACCATGAACCTCAACCAGTAATTATATCCAATCATGCAACTCTTTTAGTTTAAATCCTTAATTGATTGAGTGGTAATTTACCTTAAAAAATGAAAGTATTCCCAGGCATGATGTCACACCTGTAATCCCAGTTCTTTGGGAGACTGAGGCAGGTGGATTCCTTAAGTCCAAGAGTTCAAAACCAGACTGGGCAACAAGGCGAGATCCCATCTCTGCCAACAAGTACAAAAATTAGCTGGGCGTGGTGGCACATGCCTATGGTCCCAGCTACTTGGGACGCTGAGGTGAGTATCACATGAGCCCAGGAGGTGGAGGCTGCAGTGAGCCATGATCGCACCACACACCTCCAGCCTGGGAGACAGAGCAAGACTCTGTCTCCTATTTAAAAAAAAAAGTATTTAGGGATGGAATACCATGATATTTATAACTGATTTTCAAATGGCTTAGGTCAATATATGTGTTTGTCTTTTGCTTATATATATATATATATATATATATATATATATATACACACACACACTCTCATATATATGCATTCTGCTCATTTATATACATATATATGCAAAATAAGCAAAAACCAGCAAAACACTAACCTACTAACCATGTTAAATCGAGGTGGTAGGTTTATAGATTCACCATACTCCACTTAACTTTTCTGCATGTGTGAAAATTTTAGTAAAATGTTAAAAAATTGAAAGCAAAATGAAAATTATGATTAGTATGCCTCCTCTGTGAAAAAATGGGGGAAAATAATGTATTTTCTTAAATATGCATAAACAAACTCCAAGTATAAGAAACTAATAATGATTATTTTGGAAGTGGGGTAAGCAGTGGTAAATGAGTATATGGGACAGAGATGGAGGCTCTGAGAATTTATTTTATATATACATAAGTCAGCCAGGCACGATGGCTCATGCCTGTAATGCCAGCACTTTGGGAGGCCAAGGTGGGCAAATCACTTGAGGTAGGAAGATCGAGACCAGCCTGGCCAACATGGTGAAACCCCATCGCTACTAAAAATACAAAAATTAGCTGGGCATGGCAGCACATGCCCGTAATCCCAGCCACTTGGGAGGCTAAGGCAGAAGAATCATTTGAATCCGGGTGGTGGAAATTGCAGTGAGCCGATATTGTGCCACTCAACTTTTGTCTCGGTGATACAGTAAGATTCTGTCTCAAAAACAAACAAACACACAAAAAACTCTATGACTGCATTATTCAAAATATTACATTGATAAGTAATGTTCACTATATTTTTACTTATGACATATGATTATGGTGAGGATTAAATCAGATAATGTACATTAAAACCTTAGTAAGTGCTTGGCACTTGGTCAAAGCTCAATGAATGTTAGCTAGTCCAGCTGTTGAAGTAAGAAAAATAATCTTCAGTATTAACAGTACAAGTTATTTTTAATCAAACACTAGAGATAGTTACGACACTCACGAGAAGTGGTTATTTGTGAATATGAACTTCAAACACCATTTTCAAAATTTATATCAAAGGGTTTTTCTGACTGGTATAAATCAACATTGAAATTATTTTCCTTAATGAAATGAGTGGCATTTGAAATATATGGTTAGCCAGAAAACCTGCTTGGGCACCACTACACAAGGCTGTACGATTTAGCAGGTTCAGCAGCCCAGACTTTTAGAGTAACACACACTGTTCAGAGCTCCATTTGGGCCTAGGATTTACAATTTGGTGGAAGACACTGTTGTCTGACCTGACCAGTACCACCGTCAGACTACTACTGTTTATTTAGCTTTAGTGAACTAAGATTCTTGTCATGGGGCCTGTGAACCACCTCTTCATAGAGGACACCATAGTATGGCTTGACAGGTGACCATTCCTATGATCAGAATATGTTGTCTACCTCATCTTTAGTAAGCCAAGGTATCACCTTGTCGAGCTGTCGAGAAACTTAAATGAGATGTAAATGTTAAGCATTTCGTATAGTTCCTTGCCTATTAGAAGCAAAATTATTAGCAATGATCATTATTATTACTTTTGAGAAACTGAAGTTGCTAGATTAGATTCAACTGAAAGAAAAGGTTCAAATTAAAAATAACTAAACAATTCATTTTCCTGAACAACTACAGTAGATAAAGTTAGTTACCTATGGCCTGTTCTAGTATAATCATTTTTCTGAAATCAGATACAAATCAAGGAAAAATTTAGTAATAAATGACTGTAACCAGAGATTATTTTTTTGTTTTGATTTGGTTTTGAGATGGGAGTTTCACTCTTGTCACCCAGGCTTGCTGCCCACGCTAGAGTGCAATGGCTTGATCTTGGCTCACCGCAACTTCTGCCTCCCAGGTTCATGCGATTCTCCTGCCTCAGCCTCTCCAGTAGCTGGGATTACAGGCACCCACCACCACACCCAGCTAATTTTTGTATTTTAGTACAGATGTGATTTTGCCATGTTAGCCAGGCTGGTCTTGAACTCCTGACCTCAAGTGATTCACCTGCCTCGGCCTCCCAAAGTGCTGGGATTACAGGTGTGAGCCACTGCACCTGGAGGAGATGATTTGCTAATAAAAAAAAAATTGGAAATATTGTGTACTCATCAGCAAAGCAGTGTCACTTCAAAAAACAATTTTTAAAATGGATGTCTACAAACTTCATGTACTTGATAATTTGCTTAAAATTAATAGAAAATTCCAATAGAGTTTTAAAACAAAGGAACAAAATATCAGCTCAGAAATGTAACATAAAAAATATATGCATAAAAGCACAAAAGGCCACATAAAAGTAAATTACAACACACACAGGTACACGTGCATACACATAGATACACACACACGCACACAAATTTCATAGCAGTTAGCTTAATGAAGAAAATAGTCTGCTTGTTATTCAATTTATTCTCGTGTAGGCCTTCATACTGTTTAGGAAAAACTCAACAATCATTTACTATATAAGATTCATCCAAATCCAGTCAATAAAACTGCAGGCTACTAGAACTGAATGAGTAATTAAAACTCCTACTAGCTTCCCTTATAAATTATTAATAGTTACCTAAAAGCCTAAGTCGATCACTTTTTATTAAGTATTAAGGGAATGTGCCCTCTTTCTGGGTCCACCAGGGGGCGTAGTTTCAAGGGCAAGAACTTCCCAGCACCATGCCCCCACCCCATCTTTCTCCATCTGGGAGATTTAACTGTCTCTGTTTTAAATTTTTGCACTCACAAGAAGAACCAAAGGTCAATCACTGCAGTGGAAGTTTAAGGGAACTCTTTTCATTGGCCAAGGGACTTGGAGAAGAAGGGAATTCCTCCCAGGTTAAAAGTCCCTGCCTCCCTCATCTGGGCGGATTTCCCCTCTGGAGTCCCCTTCCACACTCTTCATGGAAGTTTTCTCTCTTCTTCTCTTTTTCCTCTTCCTCTACCTAAATAAATTCACTTTCTGCAAAAACTCTAGGGTCTGGTATTTACTTTGCAAGTGCACCTGGTCCCCTCTCTCATTCTTGAGAGTGCAGACCAGGAACCTTTGAGAAACGTCCTCTCAGGGGAGCTCAGGGCTCCCCTGAACCCCAATATTTTGGCGAGCCAGCCAGGAGAATACAACTTCTAACTGTAGGTAAAAGCAGCTCCATTCTGTCCTGTCTCTTTAAGAACACCTGAAGCAGCCGCAGCCAGGCAGGGCTGCGGGGAACTGGAGCAGCAGGTGCAGCCCATCCCGTCTTAAGCAGTGCGGGCCAGCTAGAATTAAAGGCGCAGTTTTTCCTTCAAGCTCTCTCGCTGCTTTCTGCTCCTTCTCTATCCTTTGGCTATTACAGGAGCCTGTGGGGAGGAGAGGGTGAGCACTCCCCCCGACCACCTCCCCAGGCCTTTTCGCTCCTTGGCTCCTTGTCCGCTGGGCTCAACTATTATCTCTGGGACAAAAACCTGCAGGAGCCTGTGGGGTGGAGAGGGTAAGCACTCCCCCACAGGCCTTTCCTCCTTGCCTGCTGGGAACAGCCCAGCCCAGAGGGTGGGCCAGGCATGCACAGCAAGCCGCAGCTGCCAGCACTGCCAGGAGAGAGAAAAGCAGAGCGGGGAAGTGCTTTTGCTGGCTGTAGCTTGGTTCTGGAGGCGGGACCAGCATAAAATCGCAGTCAGGGACAGAACAAGGGGACTTCCTCCAGGGCGTTCACCTGCCAGCAGCGAGTCCCTGTGTAGGCAGTGGCTGGGGGAGTGGCTCAGAGTGCACACATGGTCCTGGCATCACAGCAAAATGAAACGCCCCAAGGGGCGGGGCAGGACTTCCCCTCTGGCACATAGCAGGGCAGCGCAGAGGCCTGGCTTTTAAAATCACGCGGCTGCAAACGTGGCTTTTAAACTGACAGTGGTAAGGGGCTTTTTTTTTTCTCCCAGCTGAGATAAGGGAAGCGCTGCTGGCTGTCAGCCCTGCCCAGCTTTCAGCAGGCCACACTTTCTCAGGGTGCAGCATTCGCATTCAGATATGGCTTAAGAAAGGTTTCTGCCTTCCTTTAACGCAAGTGGCCTGTTAGCACAGTTGGTTAAGGTCTAGGGCCTGCAAGTGCATGGTTGCTGGTCCAAATCCCTGGTGGAGTCAGTCGTGGATTAGAGAAACGTTTTGGGAAATTCAGAAGCTGAAGGCTATGGGACTTTGTGTTTGGTGTATAATTTGTCTTGCTTAGGATTGGCTCTCTCTCTACAGCAGAACTTTTCCATCTAGAAGATCATAGTTAAACCAGTTCTAGGGCCCAAATAGTTAACAGCAGGTCTTGCATTTGTAAGGGCGTTTTCCTACAATGGAAAATGGGGTCGGGAGAGGAGGCCCAGGTCCTGAGGGTATTGTTCCAGCCTCAGCCACATGGCCTGGCTTCTTTGAACTGTGTGCTCTAATGGTCCCTCCCTAGAAGTTTACCCTTCTGGGGTAGTTTTATAAATTGGCCTGTGCAAACTGGACTTTTGCTGGGGAATATTGGTACCCATCTCCTAAGGCTCACTGACCTCATCAGGCTCATTGGTATGATTACTACCCAACATGATAGCCCCTTTCATTCCATGCCTCATGGTAGTCACTAGAGGTCATGCAGACAGTGAGCGTGAGTCCTATGACGCTGGTAGGTCGTGATTTGAACCCAGTACATGGGAGGCCCTCTGATAACATGGATCACGCATCCTGGTCACATGAAATTTTGGGGTACTGACCAAAAGACGTTTCATTTCAGTACCCATTTTACCTAAGGAATGCCTTAGGTTGAAGCAGCTGTAATTTCTTTAACCGGGGGTGCAGGCATCCCTCATGTTCAATTTCAGGTGGGTGCCAATCTTCCCAAGATCAAGTCCCCATTAAAGTGTATACTGGAAAATTAGGACCAATTTACCACATGGTCTTTAAAGAAGAGGCTCATTTTTCTCTGCCAAACAGAGTAGCCGAAACACCCACGGCCGAGTGGGAAAACCTAGCCCCCAAAGGGAAGGTAAAAAAAACCCAACAGCTTTCCTTGAGCGACTGTGGAAGGCCTTAAGAAAGTACACCCCCCATCACCAGACTCCACTGAGGGTCAGTTAATACTACAGGACAAGTTTATTAGTCAGCAGCAGATATCAGGCAGAAGCTCCAGAAACTGGCCTTGGGGCCAAAACAGAGTCTAGAATCATTACTGAACCTGGCAACCTCGGTGTTTTATAATAGAGACCAAAAGGAACAGGAGAGATCAGAGAAAGGCTGCTGCTTCAGTCATGGCTTTCAGGCAGGCAGACCCCTGGGGCTCAAATGAAGGAAGGGCTCGGGTTAGCCGACAGTCTGGCAGAGCCTGTTACCAGTGTGGCCTGAAGAGACATTTTATAAGAAATTGTCCACAAAGGAATGGACCACCACCTCATCCATGCCCCCTGTGCCAAGGTAATCACTGGAAAGCACACTATCCCAGGGGACAAAGGTGCCCAAGGGCCTGAGCTGTCTGACCAGATGATCCAATGGCAGGACTGAGGGTGCCTGGAGCAAGTGCCAGCAGGAGCCATCACCCTCACAGAGCCCCAGGTAAAGCTGACCATAAAGGTCCAGGAAGCTAATCTTCTCCTGAACACTGGCATGGCCTTCTCAGTATTTCTCTCCTGCCCCGGAGACTTGGTGCTTGTTAATTCTCTCCCCTCAGACTCTCCCTCCCTAGGCCCATCCTGGGAAGGACAATTTTCAGTTATTCTGTCTACCCCAATGGCAGTTAAGGTGGTGGGAATTAACTCATGGATTCATCACACTCGGCTGAAGCCTTGGATACCTCCTGAGGAAAGTCACAGACCCTCCACTCCGCAGCCTGAAGTTCCAGGAGACAACCCTGATTATCCTTTTCATAGTGGAAAGGGAGCCTGTCTCTTTCTAGGAAAAATGCTATTTTGTAAACCAGTCAAGTATTGTTTTGAACATAGAACTCAGGAATCAATCAAACACAGGGCTAAAGACCTTCAAGAAACAGTATTGTGAAGCTTGTTTAACAACTGACTATCCTGGCTCTAGTCTCTCCTAGGCTCGTTTATAACCATTCTATATTTGTTGGCCTCTGGGCCTCTCATCTTTAACCACCTTGTCACATTCATTTCATCTAGAACCATAAGGTCACAAATAGTCCTGCCACTGGAATCCCGGATGTCCTTGGCTCGTGGGCTCTATCGTGGACCTCAGGATCAACCTGCACCCCAAAAAGGCTCCCCGCTGGAGGAAACCTCAACTTCAGGGCCCCTTCTATGCCCCATTTCAGCAGGAAGTAGCTACAGAGTGATCGACACCCATGTTCCAACAGAAGTTGAACTTTCCTGTTCAGAGGGGGCAATGAGGGAAGGTGTCCTCTTTCCGGGTCCACTAGGGGGTGTAGTTTCAAGGGCAAGAACTTCCCAGCACCATGCCCTCGCTCCCATCTCTCTCCACCCAGGAGGTGTAAAGGTCTCTGTTTTAAATTTTCATGCATGCAGGAAGAACTAAAGGTTACTCCCGCAGAAGTTTTAGGGAACTCTTTTCATTGGCCAAGGGACTTGGAGAAGGACAGAATTCCTTCCAGGTTAAAAGTCCCTGTCTCCCTCATCAGGGCGGATTTCCCCTCTGGAGTCTCCTTCCACACTCTTCGTGGAAGTTTTCTCTCTTCTTCTCCTTTTTTTCCCCTTTTCTTTAACTAAATAAATTCACTTCCTGCAAAAAAAACTATTTGGGGTCTAGTATTTACTTTGCGAGCGCACCTGTTCCCCTCTCTCATTCCTGAGAGAGCAGGAGATCAAGAACCTTGGAGAAACATCCTCTCAGGGGAGCTGAGGGCTCCCCTGAACCTCTGAACCCCAACAGTACTATGAGAATTACATATGGAATTTGCTTTTAATCACAAAGCCAATCTGATTAACAAGAAAATGAGACATAAAATCAGTACTTCCGCAATTGACTTTTCATAATATTCCATAATTTTAAAATATTCACCTCAGATATTTTTAACTTTAAAACATTTTTGGCTGGCCTCATATCTGAAATCCCAACACTTTGGGAGGCTCAGGCAAGCAGATCACTTGAGGTCAGGAGTTTGAGACTGGCCTGACCAACATGGTGAAACCCGTCTCTACTAAAAATAGAAAATTAGCTGGGTGTGGTGGCACACACCTGTAACCCCAGCTACTCGGGAGGCTTAGGCACAAGAATCACTTGAACCCAGCAGGCAGAGGTTGCAGTGAGTTGAGAGTCTGCCACACTGCACTTCAGCCTGGACAACGAAGGCTGTCTCAAAACACAAACAAAAAAAAACCATTTTTTGTTATGTTGGTAAATACCCAGGCAATAAAATACTCTAAAGAGAAGTTTGAAAGATCTAACAGGAGTTAATACTTATTAACTACAAATTAGCATGACTATGTTTAAAAAGCTCAGTTGAGGCCGGGCACAGTGGCTCATGCCTGTAATCCCAGCACTTTGGGAGGCTGAGGCAGGTGGATCACCTGAGGTCAGGAGTTCAAGACCAGACTGGCCAACATGGTGAAACCCCATCTCTACTAAAAGTATAAAAATCAGCCAGGCATGATGGCAGACACCTGTAATCCCAGCTACTCAGAAGGCTGAGGCAGGAGAATCACTTGAACCCAAGAGGTGGAGGTTGCAGTGAGCCAAGATCACACCATTGCATTCCAGTGTGGGCAACAAGAATTGCCTATCTCAAAAAAAAAAAAAAAAAAATTTAATTCCCATTCTCAATTCACGAAGTATCTACTATGAAACATATTATGTCTTACGCACAATGCCAGACCCAATAATAACTTGCTTTCAAGATTTTATAGTTTATTGCGAGAAGGCAGACATATAAACGATAATTTCAATGCCAATAGTTTGAATGCAAATGGTAATTTCTAGGAAAAAGGTACATGTGAGGTACTTTTCTATGCATGGAGAAATAACTGTGCATTGGGGAGTGGGAGGTGTAGTGAGACGCAGCAGGACTGTAAGGAAAAGCTTTCTTAACAATATTGCCTATATCTGCCAGATACTTTTGTTTTCACTGATCATCCAACACAGGATTGAAAAGGAAATTAAACATTTAGCATATCACTTGAATTCTTTCACATATTAGTACCTATTAAGTGCGGTACAGTTGTGGCAACCACGTCATAACTTTTAAATGTGGTATAGTATCTCATAACCAGTAGCTTAAATTTTGGTTGAAAAGCCATGAATTCTTCATCTTCCCAAATTTATTTCCACCAGTGCTTCTTATTTTGCCACCCCTCAACTCCCAGTAATTGAAATAATAAAATGTAACAATATCTACACTATTTAAAAATGCCTTAAAGTCTAGTTGATTCCTATTTTTAAATTGCTTTTATTTCCAAAATAAATAGAATTGAACAAGTTTAGCTAAATAAAATAATGCGGTTTATTTAATGCAGACTATAAACAGAATGCGTAATTTTCTATTTCAAAAGTCTGGGTTTATACTGCATACCAAGCATTCTGCTATTCTAAAATCTATAACATAATAGCTATACAGCTATTTATTACAGAAAAAAATTACAATTGGCAATTACTTAGATTTGCAATACATTTCCATTCTTTCATGAACAACTTTGGAGTGCTAATAACCCAAATCACATAGAAAGCTGTCTTACTGACAGAATTTCATACATACATTTTAGTTAATATTGCTGGAAGATAAAGTTTGCAATAGTATTATTCAAAAGTATGAAAGAAGTGAGAAGTATCATAAAGCTACAAAAGTCATCATTTTTTGGTAATCTCTGACATTGTCCATGATGGCTACATTTAAAACCCAAAGACTATTTCATAAGAAAAAAATATATAAAATACTATACTGCTTATGGAGATGCTGCTGTGCATTACTTTTAAATTTCTAGGCTGGGCGTGGTGGCTCATGCCTGTAATCCCAGCACTTTGGGAGGTCAAGGTGGGTGGGTCACGAGGTCATGAGTTCAAGACCAGTTTGGCCAACGTAGTGAAACCCCGTTTCTACTAAAAATATAAAAAATTAGCTGGGTGTGGTGTTGTGCACCTATAATCCCAGCTACTTGAGAGGCTGAGGCAGGAGAATTGCGTGAACCCAGGAGGCGGAGGTTACGGTGAGCCAAGATTGCACTATTGCACTCCAGCCTGGGCAAAAAGGCAAAACCCCAAAAAAAAAAAAAAAAAAAAAAAAAAAAAAATTCTATACAATCCCATAATCAAATGAGTCCACAGATGTTTACCAAGTATCTATTATATGAAGTATCTATTACATGCTAAGCACTGTGTTATCCTGTAAAAACACACAGGTAAACAAACAGTTCCTGATCTTGAAGAACTTAAGTCTAAAGAGAAACACAGACAAGTAAACAAGCCATCATGATGAAGCATAGTAAGTACAGCAGGTCTTTCAACAAAATTGGTTTGTTCAAGTCATTTCGTTATCTGTTGATGAAAAAGAAAAAACAGTATTGACTCCCGGCCACAGATACTGTCTGTGTAGAGTCTGCACATTCTCCTCATGTTCACATGGGTTTTCTCTGAGTACTCCAGTTTCCTCCCACATCTCAAAGATATGCATGTGAGCTAAACTGGCATGTTACATGGCCCCAGTATGAGTGAGTGTGGTTATCAGTGTGCCCTGCACTGTGATGGCATCCTGTCCAGGGCTGTTTCCTGTTTTGTGCTCTGAGCTACCGGGACAGGCTCTGGCCACTCTTGATCCTGAACTGAAATAAGTGAATGAGTATCTTATTTGTTTTTATTCACCTTCCTTAAATGTGTGTATAGCTCAAATTTATTTTAATGATTAATATTAGAAATGCTTAGGCCTTTATTTAGAAATGTGATTTTTTTTTTTTACTCTTGTTTTATATCAATTAGCCTATGGTTAAACTGGTTTTGTTACACATTGTTTCTCTTAAAGTAGCAGTTTCCAAGAACATAATGATGAGGTAACAGAGGGAGCTCTAAGACATCATAGAATTAGTACTTAACTAAACTTGTGAGTTCAGATAATGCTCCTCAGAGAAAATGATGGTTAAACTGCCACCTGAAGGATAAACAGGACTTAAATATGCAAAGGGTATTGGGGGTGAGGCAGGGACAGAAAAGGCACAGATGGGAAAGCAGAAGAAATAGTCTAGGCAGACAGAACCTTAACTATAAAACAGAGAAAAAACATTTAGGGATTGCAAGCAGTTGAGAAATACTAAAATATAGAGTTTATGTACAGCTAGAGATTGGGTCAGAAAGGGACTGATAAAACTATGAATACCAAAGAATGAAGTGAACAGAGAATAATATAATGGACTCTGTGGCATGCTGGGAAGTTTAGACTTTTGCAACATATACCCAACATGGAGAACAAATTGAGACTGATGACAGGAAGATCAATCAGTTAGGAGGCAGGACAATAGCAATAGCTGCAGCAAGGATGGAAATTAAGAGGAAAACAAATACTAGGATTTAATGATTAGCTGATAGGCCTAAGAGAGGGAGGAGACAAGAATAATACATAGGTTTCTGGCTTAGATAACTGGCTGGATGTTGGTGAAGGAAAATAAGTGTGGCCACGCATGGTGGCTCACACCTATAATCCCAGCACTTTGGGAAGCCAAGGTGAGCGGATCACCTGAGGTTGGGAGTTTGAGACCAGCCTGACCAACACGGAGAAACCCAGTCTCTACTAAAAATACAAAATTAGTTAGGCATGCTGGCGCATACCTGTAATCCCAGCTACTTGGGAGGCTGAGGCAGGAGAATCGCTTGAACCTGGGAGGCAGAGGGTGCAGTGAGCTGAGATCGTGCCATTGCACTACAACCTGGGCAATGAGTGAAACTCTGTCTCAGGAAAAAAAAGGAAAATAAGTGAAGTTGTGGAGGAAATCATCATCATAACATTGTTTTGGATTTGCTGGATTTGAGATGCCTGTGCAAAATTCAAGATGTAGATGACTTGGATAAAGCTAAGCATCTAGAATTCAAGTAAAAGATACAGAATCACATCTTTTATGAAGAGCAGGTCCTAAAGTCACTGTTAGGCAAAAATTACAAATAATAAAAATCATCTTTGGAAATTCTAATTTAGGAAGCTCCCCTCCAAAGGAGACCCACACACTCTCTTAATAAGCCAATCCTCTAGCACTAGAACAAACTACTATTCCTTTAGTTGAGTACCAAATGATCACTAAGTAGAAGAATGAGAATATTAACTTGCATTTTTAACTGTTTTTTTTAAAAACTCTCTACCATTTGTAGCTGTCATGTATATGTGTTGAATTTCTTAAGTGAAAAGTACATATGATGTAAATAAATCATATACATTTAGTCTTTAGTGTAAACAGACAGTAAATGAAGTCATGGTTGATAATGAGACACAGGGAAAGTATATTAGTTTCCTACAGCTGCAGTATCAAATTACTATGAAATTGGTGGATTGAAACAACACACATTTATTACATTTATTCTCTTACAGTTCTAGAAGTCAGAAGCTGGAAATCAGTCTCAAAGGGATATCAATGTGTCAGAAGGGATGGTATCTTCTGGAGGCTTCAGGGGACAATTTGTTTCTTGTTTCTTCTAGCTTTTAGAGACTGTTGGCATTCTTTGACACATAGTCATATGACTCCAATCTCTGCTACCAACTCTAAACTGTTTGTTTCTCTGACTCTACCTGCATCCTTCTTATAAGGACCATTGTGATTAAATCAGGCCCACCAGGATAATCTTCCCATTTCAAAATCCTCAATTTAATCACATCTGCAAAGCCTCCGCTCCTTTTTATTTTAAAGAGATGTGGTCTTGCTCTGTCACCCAGGCTGGAATGCAGTGGCACAATCATAGCTTACTGAAGCCTCGAACTCCTAGGCTCAAGCAAAACTCCTGTCTCAGCCTTCCAAGTAGCTGGGACTCCAGGCACATGGCACCACACCTAGCTAAATTTTTATTTTTACTTGATTTTACTTTTTTTGGAGGCAGGGTCTTGCTATGTTGCCCAGGCATGCAAAGTCCCTTTTGCCATATAAGGTAACATTCTCAGGTTCTGGGGATTAGGACATGAACATATTTGGTGGGTG